TGTTGAGAGTTCGAGACCAACCTGGGCTACATAGTGAGTTCGAGGCTAGCCTGAACTATACGGTAACACCTTATCTTAAAAATCCAAAAACAAAAACAAAAACACAACACTTGAACCATATTACTTTTAAATGTTCTTCCAACCTGGATACTTTATCATTTTAAAGCAACCTCTGTTCAAAACCTTTCAGTGAATCTCATTTATTGAGCATAGAAATCAGTTCCTAGATCTGGCCTACCTTTTACATTTACATTTACTTTCCTTAATTGACACCTTACTCTCCAAATACCCCTACCTCTGACATTCCTGTCTTCATGTTTGCTGTTCCATCTGCCATATGTCACAGCACTCTGTAAACAGACCTCCCACAAAAATGTGAGCCACTAATATCTCCCTCCACTTGTTGAACCCTACTCATCTGTTTTAGGGTCTTAGTCACTTTCCCATCCCTGAGACACAATACCCAACACCCACAACTTAGAGGATGAGAGGTTTATTTCAGTTCACAGTTGCAGTCCATGCAGCTGGCTCCAAGGCAGAAGCAGAGTGGCAGAGCGGCCTGGTGGAGGAAAAGATGCTCAACCCATGGCAGCCAGGAGGCAGAGAGGAGAGGAGGGGAGGGGAGGGGAAGGGAGGGGAGGGGAGGAAAGGGGACAAACATACACCCTTCCAGGTCACACTCCCAGTGACCCACCTCCAACCAGGCCCCACTTCCTAACAACACTCAGCTACTGAATTCAACAATGGGCAAATCAACCACTGTTGAGTACAGCACCCCACAATCCAGTCACCTTCCACACCCATAAGAATTTGTGGGATATTTTACATTTAAACCATAACAGTTGCAGGTTAGAAAAACCACAAATAAATGATAAAAATGTACTGGTTCACACGTCCAGAAGTGGGTCAAACTTCAGGAATGGCTTCGTCAGGTCTCTGGCTCAACTTTTCTGAAATATTTTCCTATTCTGCCCCCAAACCTCAATCAAGTTTTGTCTTCCAGCTAGCTTTTCTCATGACAGCTAAAAGAAAATTCTGCCCCAACTGTAGGTAGCACAGTGTAACTGCACTATCCAGAAAATAAAAGAATATCTCTTCCTCTTTCTTCACTTTTATTGGACCCACAGCCCTAGGTCCTTCATAAAGAGGCAGGATAGTGATTTAGCAAACAGGTTCTGAGGTTGAACTCTGTCTCCTAGCTGTATGACAGTGGTACATTACCTCAAACAGTTTCCTCATCTGTATGAGAGGAATTATAACAGTATGTCTATTATAAGGCTGTTAGAACTAGACAAGCTTGAAAAACACTCAGCAAACCGCCTGGCAACTAGCAAATGCTCCATAAATGTTAGCTACTGATACCAGCATATTTCCTTGGAAACATTTCTCTTAATACAATAAGCTTCAGAGAGTTTTCTAGACAAGAGTCTTCCAGACATTTCTCTGTTGAATCTGCAGTCCATCATTCAGCAAACATTAAATGAGGGCCTACTGTTTTAGGCATGAGGAACGAGCAAAACAGACAATATCCGGTCCTGGCAGAGATCACATTGTAGTGGAAGGTGAGGGTGGGAGAGACAATAAATACACATATGAGTGTACTCTGGGTGGTATGGACAAAAAAATCCAGCAGGAGAAGTGCAGAGTGGGATGTTATTTTAAATGTGGGCCAGGAAAGGCTTCTCAGAGGAAGTAACCTTTGAGCTGAGACATGAAGGTGAGGAATGAGCCACATCAATATTTGGGGAGAATCTGAGGCATGGAAAACAATAAATGTAAAGGCGCTGAGGAAGTAGCATGCTTAGCCTGTTAATAAGGAACAGGAAAGAGGACAAAATGCATTTGGGGCAGAATAGCAGAGCCATAGGGGGCCAGTTCAGAAGGGCAGCAGGTCACACAGGACCCTGCAGAACATGAACATAATCCTCAGGGCCATCAGGCAACAGGACACCACCTGCACAGACAAATTTACTAACCGAGGCTATGAACACAACAGGGTGAGAGCCTCAACCTGCCCGTTGGTGGGGCTGCAGGGAGGTTAGAGAAGGCTTCTCAGAAGAGATGGCTCCTGAGCTAAATGTTGAAGGATGAACTGGAAGTGTGTGAGCAAACAGGCAGGGGCAATCCAAATAATGAAAATGGCTGTGGTGGTGTACTCAAGCAAATGTGGTAAGGCCAGTGCACAGGGAAGGAGGTCAGGAGTGGCCAGAAAGACAGCAGAAGAGACTGGTAGGGGCTGGGTTCATTAACCACTTGACGGATCCACTCATTCAAGTATTTACTGAACAACAGGTATGTGCCAGATACTGCAGAAAGTTTGGGAACATAGTGATGTATATAACAGTCAAAAATTCCCAGTCTTGGGGTCTGCCTGGCAAGCACAAAGTTGTCACTTCCTGAGTTTGATTCCTGGTACCAAAAAAAAAAAAAAAAAAAAAAGAAAAAAAAAAGAAATTAAATTCCTGGTCTTGTTGGACATGGCAGTGCACTCTGGAAGGCTGAGGCAGGAGGATGACAAGCCAGAGCACAGGCTGGATAACTTAGCAACTTATTGAGACCCTGTCTCAAAATTAACAATTAAAAAAATAGCTGAGGATGGGATGTAGCTCATTGTGAAGGCCCAGTACTAAAAAAAAAGAAAAAAAAGGTCTCATGGAACTTTCTATTTCTATTCACGAATCCATTCTGTGTAACCTGCTGTCCTTCTGAACTGCAAGAGACAGCCAAAAACACATAGACTAATAAATGACAGAACAAGAGGCCAAACTGTTAGGCAGAGTGTTTAAGGAAGAACTCTCAGAGGTGCTATTTAGGCAGAGATTTGGGAGAATGTCCCAGGCCTTGCTCTCCAATGTCACCATCTCTCTGGTTTGATTTCTCTTCCTTTTGAAGTGGGACATGGAGGTCATCAAACAAGAGAAGAGTAGTTATTACTGCTGGTCTGACAGAGACAGCACTCTCAGTTCAAACTCTGCTGCATTCTTGGGAATCCTGTGTCTCAGATAGGTTTCAGGGGAAGTGATATGAAGAATACAATCATGAAATCACAGTGGGAAGAGGTGGTGGAAAACTTGACAGCTGACAGTGGTTCTCCTGTACTTGCAGCAGACCCCTCTGGCTATTTTAGAGAAGAGAGTGAGAGTGAGAGTGAGAGTGAGAGTGAGAGTGAGAGTGAGAGAGAGAGAGAGAGAGAGAGAGAGAGAGAATGAGAGTGAGAGAGAGACAAAGAGAGACAGAGTCAGAGACAGACACAGAGACAGAAACAGAGATTGAGATCACTATAGGGACAGGATGGGGAGACTCCTGGGACCTTAGCTTGTTATTCATTAAAAACACAATTTGTATCTTCTTCTGGTATATTCAAGTACCTAAAAGCCATTTTTGTTAAAAACTGACTCCTTACTTAGGTCTACAGATGCACAATAGGTAACCAAAAGCAGAAAGAAGCTTGAGCTTCATTTTGCATCTTCTGTTAGCATAAAGCTCTGGGTCAAATCTCTTAATTCTCCCTGTAGGCATGTTAGTCATTTAGGGTGTGTCTACCTAAAAGTTGGCTAACGGTTTATTAGCCCTGAATTTGCATCTCCCTTCAAGATTGAGAACACAAGACAAAGGATTTACAGGCTCTTTATACCAAGTCTTTCCCCCTTGGTCCTAAACCTGTTACCACCTTGATTCCAGAAAAAGCAGAGCCCCACGTGACCGAAACCACAGCAGAGAGAATCTTTTCACGGGAACAAACCATCTCCCCACCACGAGGATTTAAGGATTCCAGAGCTGAAATCCTGATAGAGATAATGATCAACTGGACCCCAGCCCACCGGCTAATCCTTCAAAGCTGGCCTCTTTGCTCCCCTTCATCACAGGGTGTCCTCTCCAGCTGCTCAAGCTGGTGTCCTTGCCCAGCCCGGCCTAATCTTTGTCAGATCCTTCAATTAAAGTCCCTTACTATATTCTCTGACTTTCTAATTACAGCTTTTTCCTGTAAATTTGTGCTTTAGTTTTCACTTCCAGTATTACTAGAAACAAGAACCCATGCGGCTGGTGATAGCTGGGAGATTCTGGAGGCTGGAACACTGATTCAAGTTTGAGATTCTAACAGGAGAGATGCCCACTACCAAGATCAACAAAGACATCTCCTGCACCCCAGAAAGGTAAAGCTACTTGAATGTAACCAACCTTACTATTATGTTTTTTTTGGAAGAGTGGCGCCTCGGGCCAGACCACCCTCACCACAGCCTCTGCTCAGTCCCTGCTTTGGCAGCGAGGGAGGACCCTCATGCAGCTCAAGGTACTGGTATTACCGCTTCTTTCGGATTGCTCTGGCACTACCCCCACACTCCAGCTTTGGGTGCTCTCTTCAGGCCTCTCCCACCTGAAGCACCACCCACTCAGCCCCCTTTAGGGCCTGCCTCCTTCCGGCTCCTCCCCAGAGTGGCGATCCTGGACCCCCTCCTCCCTGCTGCGCTTCCGGGTCCGCCTCCTCCAGGCACGATCTCCCTTTAGCCCCGCCCACAGCCCTTCCTTCTTTCGAGCACCGCCCCGGCTCCGGCTCTCTGAGGCCTCCGCCATCGTCTTCCACACCTGTCCGGCGTCCTTTTCCCCTTGGCATCACCCGCGCACTCGCCCCGCCCCCTGGCCCCTACTGGTGTGACTCCCATCCCTCCTCTAGCCCCGCCTCCTAGCCCAATCCCTCCTCCCCGCCAGACCCCGCCCCGGCCCCTCCTCCCTCCTCTCCGCGCCGAAGCTCTGGACCTTTCCAAAGCCAGCCTGCGGGGGTAGGGAGAGCTCACGCTCCTGGGAAGCCGAGCTGGGTAAGGGCGGGGCTGAGGACTCCTTGTGCTTGTGTCACCGTGTCCTTCCCGGGAGGCAGGCCAGGTAGAGGGAAAGGCCGGGGCCGGGGCGACAGGCGCGGCCGAGCGGAGGGAAGCTGCCCCGGGAGCCCCCACCCCCGCGCACTTGAGTGGTGCCGGCCAGGGGCAGGACTCGCGGCTACGGGGCTCGCGCCGCTGTCAGTGCGGCTGGGCGCGCGAGCGGCGCGGGCGGCGCGGGCGGCGCGGGCGCGGGACGCAAAGCCGAGGAGGGCTGAGGGGGCGGTAGCGACTCGTGCGCGTGTTCAGCCTTCTCTAGCTTTGGCCTGGGCCAGCTCCTTACCCCTCTTTCTCTTCCGCCCGAGTGCGGCCGGCACCTCTTCCTTCTACGCCGCGCGGCTTCCACCAGACCTTTCGGCGCGGGTGAGTGGGGGCCGCAGGCGTCCCCTTAGGGGCGCGGGGGGGTGTTCCTTGTGTCTTCTGGGTCGCCCACCCCTTCTGGGTGGCCGCTGCCTATTTTTAGAAACTCTTTTTTCGGCCATTCGGGAAGTCCTGGTAGCCTGAGTAACTCCAGGCCCCCTCCCCCTCTCCTCCTCCCTCCCGGCTCCGCCGCCTTCGGCCCCCGGCCCGGCCCATCCGCGCTCGCTCCCGCTCGCCCGAGCGTTTGCCGCCCGCGTTCTGAACGCGGGCCGGGCCTGGGCCAGGAGTTGGCGGGGTGGGCCCGCGCCCGCTCGGAAGTTGGAGTCTTTTGTGCTCGTGTCCCGCCCCGCCCGGCGAGGGGAGGAGGGAGGCGAGCGGAGGCTGCGCCGGGAGGCCTCCGGCGGCCCGGCCCCTGCTCCTGCGCCGGCCCAGAGCTGCTTCCGGCGCTCCCGCCCTGGCCGGGGCTGAGCGCTCCCTGGGGCGCGCGCAACTGCTGCTGCCTTCGCTCTCCGCGGGCCCGAGCTCCTGGGCCCCGCCGGGGTCGGTCCTGGGCTCGAGGCGCACCTTGATCTCGGAGAGGAAGAACAGGCCCTCGAGCTGGGGTCGTATTCCGCACTTCACCCAAGCGCTTTGCGGCCGAGTCTTCATTTGCCCCTCTGCGAAATGGGGTAAACAGAAACTAACCCCGCAAGGCATTCGCGAATCCAGAGAGGGAACTCATATGTGAGAGAAGCGTTTCAAACCAACAGGTAACATTTAGTAAGATTGACCGAGGAACTTGGTAAGACTATCATCACAGCGGCCTTCTAGAATTGCCTTCATTGACAGACGCAGAAATCGAGGTGCAGAGAGGTTAAATAATTTGCTTCAACTCACAGTACTAAAGAAGTGCAAAGCAGTGGTTTTTATCTTTTATATTTATATTTTCTGGTGTATGTATCATCCCGTGGTGTAGAGGGAATTTTGATTTACGGTCAGGTAACGCTACCATTTAGTTAGAGGCTTAATGCGGGGCTCTCCCTGACTCCGGGGCCAGTGTCCACTTTATTGTAGATGAAGTTTCATTTTAAGACTAGCAGGGCTCCAAGGGAAGGAAGTTCGGATGAATTTCTTGCTGGTATTTTCCTTATAGGTTGATGAATGCAGGAGACTCTTGAAATTCCTTGGCCTTTAGCTCAAGGAGCCTTTAATTTTTTTTTTTTTTTCCGGTACCGGGAATCGAACTCACGAGCTTGCGCTTGCCAGGCAGGCGCTGTGCCGCTGAGCTAAATCCCCAGCCCTATTCTTTATAAACAGTGAAATCTACCCTGTATTTTGTTCATGGCGTGTTTCTCCTCCAGACTTTGCATGTTTTGTTGTTTAGATTTCTATTATAGATTGTATTTGCGGGGAAAGGGCAAGGTATAGCCCAGGTCCTCTCCTTCAACTTGCTGCCTTCAAGTAGTTTTTATTTTTATTATTTTTAGGTAAGACCCAGAGGGGTTAAAATAAATGAAAATTAACTTTGTCAAGTGTTCCAGTGTGTTTGACCCTGGTTGTGAGGAATGTGTAAAAATCAGGCTGAAGAGTTCTTTAGCCAGGTCTTAAAGAGTCTTAAAGAATGTTTGCGTTAGCTGTTTGGAGCTGGTAGGTCGGCTTAGCTCCCTCCACCTCCCGAGATTCTAGATTTATGTTGAGGGGTGGTCGCGTGTGTTGAAAGGGTTTTACCGATTGTCCGGTCCAACTCTAGTATCTGCTTTCCTCCCCTTTCCCGTTGACTGAATTTTGGAAAGGGGAAATAAGTTGTCAGATTCACAGACGCTTAGTGTCAAACAGGAATTCTCTTCTTCCAGTCTGGTAATTTTTATTTCTCCCATATCTTGCAACCTTAAAGTGGCACTAAACTACTTATTTAAGCTTTAAGATCAGGAATCCTGAGTAATTGGAAATCTCAAGGAGGTTGTGTAGTCCCAGCTACTTCATGTACTTTGTATTTGATGTTAAAAAGAAGCCAGGTTTTGTGTACAGGTGTACCAGTTTTTGTTACATTCTCATTTTTTTTTAATTTAAAAAAAAATTTCAAAACAAGATAATAGGAGGGTAACAATGGTTAGTACATTGTGTATTGTTATCATTAACTTACTCAGAATACAAGATATAGACACTTAATTGTCCAAAAAATATTAGCACAAACCTTTCTTTTCAGTTAACTAAGAGAAATTAGTATGACTATGTACATATTTTTTCCCTTCTTTGTTTTCTCCTTTCCCCCCTCCCAGTTTCTCTTTCCTTTTGAACAGTTTCTTCCCATTTTACAATAACTTTTGTACATTTTGATCTTACTTACTCTTTCAGCTTCTCACACTAGGGAGATGATATCATGTCTGCAAATTTGCATCTGGTTCATTTTACTTATGAGTATGGTCTCGAGTTACATCCATTTACCTATGAAAGTCTCCAGTTCATCCTTCTTCATGGCTGAATAGTACTCCATTGTATAAAAGGACCACATCTTTTTTATCCATTTCTCGGTTGATGGGCATGTTGATTCTTTCCAAAATCTGGCTACTACAAATTGTGCTGCTATAAACATGGGTGTACATAATATTGCTATGGAACAATGTTTTTAGTTCTTCTAGGAAGATACCCAGAAGGGGAGTTCTCATTTTTATGTTTATAACTTACAATACTCTTTTGTAACCATTATCTGATTTTTAATCTAGTTGTGTAGGGGAGTTTGTGGGTTTAGGGTTTTAGGGTCTGGTTTATGTCTCCTTTTTACTACTATATGGTAGTGGAACAGAGGTTAGGGCGCTTCATTTCCATGGTAGAATTAATAAGTCTGGAGCACAAGACAGCTCATGGATAGAGGTTTTGATGTGGCATGGTGAACTGAGCTACTCCGTGTGGACTTTGGGCCTCATTTTCCTTATGTAAACTTTCACAGGACTGTTGTGGGGACCATGAGAAAGTACATTGTTGTAGTTTTAAAAAAGTACTTACATGTACCATCAGTCACTGGAGTAAGGACTTTAAATGGAGTATGTCATTTAACTCAGAGCAACATTTTAATCAGGTATTATTATTATTGAAGAAACAGACTTAGAGAGGTTACATGGCTTGCTTGTTACTTGGCCAAGCCAGGATTCAAACTGCAGACAGTGTAACTTTAAAACTGGCATGCTTTTTGAAATTGTGCTGTTTTATATATACACATATTTCATTTATTATTTTAAGTATTGTTACATGTAGAGTTATGTGGTATTAAGTGCATTCACAGTGTTGTGCATGCATCACTACCATCCATATCCATTATAATAAATCCTTTTCCTTTTCTGCTTATCCCCTGGCAACCACCATTCTAATTTCTGTGAATTTGTCTACTTTAAGAATCACACAGAAGTGAAATCATACAATATTTGTCTCTTTGTGACTGACAAAGCTGGTACTCTTTAGTGCCTTCATCTCAGAGTGCTCTGTAGATGGAAAGATTATTCGTCCTCATCTGCAGTAGGGTGTGGCAAGAAGCCCCATAGCATGAATCTAGGCTAGGTTCTGTCTGAAAGCTTTCTTTTACCTTTCTTCTTTCTGTGGATTGAAGTTTTTTTATTGCCGAAGCCTTTTCTGGATTTGTACTAGCTCCCAACTATATCCTCAGAAGAAACCTCCTACTCTTGAAATAGAAACCAGACAATTCCTCACCCTTGCCTTGTTTGTACCTGCTTTTCTGACCAGGGTTTGAGCATATGGGACTGCAGTGATCAGAAATAGCGGTACTATGACAGCAGCTTGGATCAGACTACTCAGAGGCTGGTTAAGTGGATTAACCTTATGACATGCTCCTTGTCTGTGTCCCCCTCTTTCCATAAAGTCACATAGGAGGGATTAACATTTATGTTCTTAGAGGGTATTTATCAATTCTCACTGCTTGTAAGTGTTTAGGGTAGCATTAGATGATACATTTAACCTTCCAACATTCTCTTTGGTTTGACTATTTCTATGTCTAGGTGTTTGGGGTGGGTAGAGTATGTATATTTATGCAAAGTGGTTGGATTTTGTCCAGATGCCAACAGGGTTTGAGACTAGGGAGTATTCTAGAGATGAGAATATGCTTTCTCAACACTCCCTACCCTCTTGTTCATGTCCGCCCATGTCCATGCTCCTTAAAAATCTGATGGCCTGCATTGTCTGCATTGTCTGCATAATAAAGTTCAGACCAATGAAGTCAGAGTATGCTGAATTGTTTATTAGGTAGAATCTTGTTTTTTTTTTTCTTCCCGGTACCGGGAATCAAACTCAAGACCTCGTGGTTGCCAGGCAGGCACTGTGCCGCTGAGCTAAATCCCCAGCCCTTATTAGGTAGAATCTTGTAGCTGAAGTGCCATAAAGTCATTTAGACCACCTAGCCAACATTTGAATCAACTACTTGTTGAGATCATTTCATTGGACACCCCGTTCATTATTAGGAAGTATTTTCTATTCACTGAACAATTTAAAACCATCTGCCAGCATGTACTAAGCTTGGGAATTTGAGTGCATACAGCCTAGTGGGGAAAACAGCCAAGGAAGCAGGTATGTGAGAAGTGTTGTAACGAAGATAGGCACTGTGAAAGCATGGAGGAAGAGCTTCTGACCTAGCATTGGAGAAGGGAAAGCTTCCTTGGAGAAGTTGGCCAAGCCTAGACTAGGAAAAAACAGACGTAAGCCAGGAAAACAGGAGGCAGGTAACCACACAAGTCCAGGGATGGTGATAATAGGTGAGACTTTCAGTCATTTACTGTGTCTGTCGGGGGTATTACTCTAAGCATTTTAAATGCAATAACTCATTTCTTCCTATAATTACCCTGAGAGGTAGATACAATTGTTCTCATCCTGTAGGTGAGGAAATAGTCCCAAATGGGTTAAATAAATTTCTCAAGATTTCCTGAGAATAAAGCATTAGGTGAGTGGACGTGGTGAGGGAGAGACTGGCAAGGTAGGCAAAGGGCCAATCACAAAAGGACCTTGTTGCCCCTGTGGAAGAC